TTCAAAATAACATTCCAACTATAGCGACTATGATAAACAAGTTACATAAAAAAGGAAATAGATTATCCACCCATAGATCAGATACTTATAACCCATTTCGAGAATATTTGGAAGAAAATTATATAGGATATAACCCAGTGTAATATTATTAAATACAAAATAAAAGTTAGACGAATGGTATTGAGATAAAATTAATTATGGAATTAAAGAACACATAAATATTTGTTCTTATGTGAAAAAAAGAATACTTATAGACTTAAAATTTTAATATGTCTTGTTCAATTATTGCAAAAATACTTATAAAAAAAAGTATTAAAATAAATAAATAAAAACCTAGTATGTTAAAGTATCAGGGTTTAGGTTTCATGGATTTGAATTATTGGATTTGTATATATAGTTTTAGGGTTTAGAATTTTATTTATACCCTTATGTTTTTATATTTATAAATATTTTTTTACGACTTGTTTTTTACCATTTGGATTTTTTGTTTTAGAACATAGTGTGTTGAATTATAATATATGTTTTATATAGTAGGATTATGCTGCATCTATAAGTTCAATAATTAAAAATGAATTATTAGTAATTATATAAAAGATTAATAATATACATATTTAATACTTATGTATTATTAATTTTATAAGTAATATAATTATTTTTTTAGTCTGTAATTAATGAATAAATCGCTTTACAATACTTTTTATCTTTGTATTTCATTCATTGTATACTAAATTAAAATGGATATATAACCACATTATATTGTCATAAATGTGTATATTATAGACTAATTAAATATATACAGAGATTTTAGGATAATTTTATATTTATTTTTAACAATGTATAATATTATGTTCTTAAAATTATAATGAATAAATTAATATAAAATAATAATTAAATCTTTTCCTTGCAAAATATAATGTTTTCATTACCTATACTATATTCTAAATTGATACAAATGAGATGTATTTTTATAGTTATTATTTAAAACAGTCATTATAATGTATTATTTAACATATATTTATGTACTTTATTCAGCGTATACAATATATGTAAAATGTGATCGTAGTTTAATGTAAAAAGATTATACATGTAATAATGAAAAAAAACATTACCCATTTTATCTCGCGAATATTGTAAAAGTAATTACATGCCATTTGAATAATTAAAAATATCTCTAGTTTTATATTTTACTAGATTCACATGATATAGTACAAATAAGAAATAAAACATTTGAGACATGCCATGATAATTTAACATATCAATAAATTATGTAATACGCTTAAACGAATTTATATTATTTTTACATTAAATTAACATGTAATTGGAATGTTAAATAATCGTTATAAAATTTTAAATAATTATATATATATAGATAAAGCTGTTAAGACAGGAATCCTATGAAAACATACATATGATATATTATATAATTTTCTATAAAATATTATATTATTAAATGATATGTAATAAAATTGCATAAAATGATTATAAGGAATACAAATAAAATAATGATAATATGGATTATTTTCAATTATACATATATATATGTGCTACTTTAAAAATTTTTTTTGAACATATTTAGAATTACATATATGTACAGAAATTAAATAGGTCTTAATATATGATTACATATATAATGTTAAATAAAGAGTTATAAAGATACAAGTATTATTTTTATATATTTATAAAGATTAAATGTAATAATCAGAATTGTTTTCTTTTTCCATATTATGTAAATTACTACTCGTTAAGAATTTTGTAAAAATATATATGAGTAAGAATATAGGCAACGGCGAAAAAGACAACGCAATAAAAAAAAGTATGGTATATCCTTATGTATAATTCATCTTATAGGAAAAAAATAACTCTAAAATATAAGTAATTAGGGACACAGTAAATATAATTATCAGGTGACTAAATCGAGAAATTAATCATATTTTTTGGTTAATATACCGGACTTCAACTAAATTATATATTGTACATATTCTATAAAATATGTTATTTTTCAATATGGAAATTTTTTATTTCGAAAGTATTATATATATTAGTTTTTATAAATTTATAGATTTAGTTAGATTACATCTTATGCATTAAAGCTTTTTTTAATTTATGTTTTGCATATAATTATTCGATAGATTTATCTTATAGTAAATTCTATAAGAAAAATGATTATGTCTATTCATTGTTAATTTATATTTTAAGGATTATCCGTAATATGGCATATTGTGAAATAGGAGAGAATAACGAATGAATACTACAAATATGTAACGTATGATATTTTATAATGTTATCCCTTATATAACTAAAGATAATACTTATTTTTAAACAACTTTCAGACATCAATATACACTGAAAAGTTAAATAAAATCAGCATATCACTATACATCAAAAATCATTTTACTAATATATAGATACATGTCATCATGTATATAGAACATTATAGTATATTATAACAATAAATTACAATTTATTTCCTATTTCTAAATTCCTGAATAAAACAACATGAAAGAGTATTATAGGTTATGTTTAATTTATTAAATTTCTTTACATCTATTGCACACCTCATGTAATTAATGATTCTAGATTATTTTACACTATATATATAAGTACATACATTTACATTAACTATGATTTAATATAGTTTTCCTATTTATTTAAATATGCTTTAATACATTAATGATTACATATTATAATAATTATTACTGAGTACCTTAAACGAACAATCAGTGTATTTGTTATATTGACATTTACGGAAGGAAATATTTCAGAATATATTGATCTTAGGAAAATAATAACATGAGGTATATGTATATTTATTTGCAGGTTTTGTTTACTATCTACTTAATAATAAACTAAAAAAAAAAATTAATTTCCAATATTTAATATTTATTTTTGTAATTTTTACAATCCATTGTGTGAGTACCATAGTATAAATATGGAAATTTTATATATAAATAGTTTAAATTTTTGAGATAAATACATTAAAAATATTTTTCGATAGAAATTCAGTTCCTATAAATATTTATAATGAAAACGTCCTGTCTGCAGATAAGGGATAAGATATCATGAAGATCATTTTTACAATACAACATATATATAAGGAGAAAAAAAACATATTTATAAAAAATAAAGAATATTACTATTTCTTATTGAACATTATAATAAACCTATAGAATGTGTGAAATATAAGTACATTTAAATAATATTATTCTTTATTTCTATATTTACATTTGTTATTATATTAGCAATTGATACTTTTTTTAAATAATTAGTATATTATATACTGATATTGTATTTTTTAATTTACTCGTTTCATTGAATCTTGTATTTTATTTGAAGAAAATTATAGAATAATTGTTAAATATAGAAACATGTATTTTTTTTATTTCGTAATTATATTTTTATTTTATTGCGATGTACACATAAAATGCATTCGACATACATAAAATTATATGTTTTTGTAATTTCGTTATATATTACAATAAATTAACGTATGCATTATTGAGTCATTATCAGCTGAAATTATATAATCATTAAAATTAAAAAAAAAAGAGAATTGTAACAATAATGATTTTTTAAAAAAATACATTAATTTAATAGAAATTACAAACATTATACATAGTTTCAAATACAACATATTTTATCTACATAGATTAAAAATTGTTATGATAAATAATAACGTTATTGTTAACTTATGCAAAAATAATTTCAATATGTTATAACTATGATACAATAAAATAAGAAAATATGCTCAAATATATTTTTACTTCGCATACTAATGCTCTTGTAAATTAATTCTGATTGCATATTTGTAATTATACAATATTTATAAGTAATATTTAAAAAATATATTTCATAGAATAAACTTAACATTTTATAAATATTAATGCAATTGCTAAATAGTATAATTATTATTATTAGAAAGTAATAACTACATATATGTTTATAAAAAAATTACTCCCATATTTTTAATTAAAATATATATTTTGTCTGATATGCAAAATACAAATTTATAAAGATTTTTATGTTTTCCTATTATATATAATAAAAGTAAAATAAAATAAAAAAAGAATTTTATATGTTATAATAATCACATTATGATAGTAACATATAAATAAAAAATATTTTTCATTTATTTCTTCATGCGAATTAAAATATTATTGTAATATCAACAATATATATATATTACATAATAATTATAATATGGAAATGGGGGAAAACTTTACGAGTTCAGAAAATAATGAAAAATATTAAGAAGTCTATTAAAATATTAGCGTGAAGAAGTATAGCTTTATTTCTTTTTATAATATACGCAATGAACCATTATTAATATAAATTATATATATGAAATAAGAATAATAATATTGTGTATAAAAGGACACAAAATATTTAATTTAGCCTATAGTATCTTTGACACTTTGGTTTAAAAACATTGTGTATAGATAATATATATTATAACTGTAACATACACTATAATATTATGTACATTAATATGAATTACAAATAATTCATTACACATTCATATTGTAAATATCAGTGTATGGTTGGTGAATATATACAATTATGTAGTACATATTATAAATAAGTACACATACATATTTCATTGAAAATAATATTAAAATAATAGCATATCATAAAGATATATAAAAATAGACAAAATAAATAATAGAAATTCCTTATTCAAAAATGCACCATATATATTCTTATAGATGTTATTATAAAATAATCAGTACATTAGTAAATACACACTTAGATATATGTTTTTTTTATTTTGTTTATATATCACGTATTAACATTTGTTAATAATGGTAGCTCAGTTATGGGTGAATTTTTTATATAATGTAAATTGTTATTTACTTTAAGATATGATATTTCTAATTAAATTATTTATATTTTTTTATAAATAAAAAATACTTATTTTATAATTTGTTTTTTACGCTTAGGATGATATACTTAAAGAATTACCTTCAAAAAAAAAGTATGCTAGTTTTCATAATAGTGATGTGGATTGTGAGGATGCTTATTTTTACCAACATGCAATTCGTCCTTTACAAAATGAGGAATGGCAGAAAGATATTTCTCAGGAAATACGTAATGCCTTATGTTATATATATAATAAAAATAAAAATGGGGACGTTAATATTGATGA